GGAATCTATGGCGACAGTAAGCTGTGCAACGTTCTCTTCACTCACGAGCTCGCCAAGAGACTGAAGGGAACCAAGGTCACTTGCTACTCCCTCCATCCAGGTAAGAACCAATGCAAGCGGGTTGTGTTTACCACAAACGGTGGATCTCAAAGACTACATTCACACTCCAGACTGAAGTGACCCAAATTCAATATTTTGTGGAATTTTGTTTGGCGTGGTCGTTCATATTTCAAAATATATGTGATTTGTAAATGATCTTTATTGTGAACTGCAAACAATCTAAAAGTGACCCGCATCTAAAAATCTTAAAAGAAAATCACACACCTGTCCACAAGCCAGGACATGTCTTGTGGACATAGAGGATGTGGAATGTAGATAAACTCATTCAGAAGAATAATAATATCAGCTTACCAATGTACCTACTTCCTCAACTCGACTGTTTTATATTGGATTAGTGACATTCAGAGTCACCTATAGAGTTATATAATCACCTATAGAGTTCAGTACAAGTGGTACATGCAGATTTTTATTTTTTAATGAAAGGATGTAGGAAACCTGGTTTCAGATTTGATCACAGTTTTTGAAGTCGCAATAAAATAGTTAAATATACATTTATACCAGAAAGTTGTGGCAATGAATTGGAAAAGTTATTGACTTGTTGCTATAGCTGTCTTTTCGGCAATCCTTCCAAACAAGCCATGTTGTTAATTTTGCAGATTTTGTCTGACCTCAAGTTAATCATTTCTTACTTACTTGAATGATTTCCACTGCTGTCAAGTACTAAGAAACAAAAGTGCTTCAAATTACATACTGTAGAACATGACCATACAACTTCTAGCCACACAGGAATCAACAAAGAAGAGCCTCAGTTGTTTACTTTGAAAGACCAGGTAACCACAAAAGACTTTGTGTTCTCATAGGGGGCATCAAGACTGAGCTGGCCAGGAATGCAGACTCGACCGTTCAGATGATTCTATCGAACCTTGGAATGTTTTTCTTCAAGACCCCGCTCCAGGGAAGCCAAACCACGCTGCACTGCGCCCTGCAGGAGGGCATCGAACACCTCAGTGGGCGCTACTTCTCCAACTGCACCGTGAGAAACGTCTTCGCCAAGGCTAGGGACGATGCCGCCTCAAAGAAGCTGTGGGAGATCAGCGAGAGGTTCTGTGGCATCTAAAGTGCGTTTTATTGCTCTTTAACTAATGTTATAAATTTTAGCTGAGATTTATTTCAAGCAGACTTTAAACCAAGCTCTCCACAAGTAGTTTGTTTCCTCTAGAGAGAGGAGCTCTTGAATGACAAATATGACATGAACGTAAACCTTACATTTAGAAGTCAAGCCAGCATTGGTTTTATTATATGCACTTCTGTTTGCACTGTTAAGTGGGTATTGTACGAAGAGACTGTAAGCACTATTTTGTAGGAATCTCGTCAGTTCCCTTAATTACTTATCCTGGAAGAGTAAAAATAAAAGTTTTAAATCAACCTGTGGATGGTAGGGCTGTGTAATAATT